AGACGTACGCGTTTTTGTACTGACAGGCCATAAAGCTAGCGTCCCAGTTGGGAAAGAGGTTTTTGCAATTCGTTAGTCCGCAGCCTATTCTGTTTGAGTCATGCCAGATCATCTGTCATGGATAAGAAAAACAAATAATGTAAGAAGGAGATCGTTAACCTCAATACTGAAATTCTGTCTGCTACAGTTATATAAAATATAAGTTAATACATGCTCCTGTCTCATGAATTGCAGGCTTCTCGATCATATCGTTATTACTAGAAGCCTTACTAATGTTTATCATAAAATAATTAGCAAGTAATGTATCCATTTAAATACTTTGTCATGGAAATTATTTAAAAGTGTCGCTTTCTTATAATTTGGGTGCTGTTCTTAATATTATTTGTCATGACATGCGCGTTTTAAACTAGTGAATCCTAAGCAACCAGTTTTTACACGGCTCCTTAAGCCTGACAAGAAACTGTATCAAATGCTTGTTGATGTATATGCACTCTTTTTATTTGTCTACAAATGGCAGGGTCCGTTTACCTGTGTATAGTGTCCGCAAATTCCTGAGCAAGAATTGTTGACGTAATTGTACTTTTCATTTTCGTCGTACCATAGCTTCAGCACTTCGCTGACGGTGGTTTGTTCGCTGCCACTAGTTGCTCCGATGTTTTGACCTGTGCCGCGATATTCCACGATGCTATATGCAGGGTGCTCAAATTTGCACCTATTCACCCACTTTTGAGCGAGTTCTGCCAGATTCTCATCCCACACCTTAAGGAAGGCATATAAAGTCAGACTTCGGCGATTTTTAATAAAGTCTCTAATCTACGCATCTTGCGTGAAGAATGCTTGTTCCGACTGAAATGTTATTTGAAGTTTTTCTCGTGGACGCATAACATGGTAAATGTGGAACATGGTGTTCTCTCTAAAGCATTACTTCCAATATATCTGTCCAATACTAGCATATAGGCAATTTTCAATATATGTACGTATCATGTGTGTACCAACCACGTTGTTTCAACTCGTTAAAACCCCTAATGGATATCGTCGAAACCGAGGGTTGAACTGTCGTTGTGTACTAAGCACCGCTTTTCGCCTCAATGCTGACCAACTTCGCAATAAGGGTTATTATCTTGTGAAAGCAGGCGTTGCACCCTTCAGTGAACAGCGTTACACTCAATGCACTGCGAAGGGTTTGAGTCCACAACTGGGCATCACAACCCAACCACGTAGACTATTGGCAGCCTACATTTCCGCAAAATGTTTCAAAGGCATGCAATCAAGTTTGAACAACGTGTCATATCAGACATGTATCAGTTCACTTTGAAAAAAACAGGAATCGATTATTACATTAGAACAGACCCCTTCAGATGGTTTGCACAGAGTTTGCTTTGCTTGAGTGTACAATACATACTATTTCGTCGCCGGGTAAATGCGTGCGGCAAATAAACTTACCCCTTCCATGTGTGCAAGGGAATAAGTCTTATGGAGTTAGGAGTTTAAATAAAAGTAAAATATCACGAGCAGATCAGCCTGCTTTTGATGGGTTAATATGACGATGGCCCCAAAAGCCAAGTGCCTAATACAGGTAGTGGACTCACGACTCTTTGCATGTTTGAAGCCGGAGGGTTGACCGTGCTTCGCTTTGAATTGTGGTACTGAATGATGAGGTCTTTCTGATCTTGCGTCATCAATTCGACTGAGACAATATTCATGAAGCAGAAGGCAGCCAACAAGCAAATGCGATCCATGGCTAATCTCGTGGTGTTACTTAAAAAAAGAGGCAATAGTAAATTAGTGAGCGGACATCAAACATTGATAGACAGGCATATATTCCGAAAAAGACGGATGATTGCGGTAGCCTTACGTCACATTCTTCAAATCCTTTGATATCTTTGGTGTAATTGATTTGTGGTTCAGACATCGTTAAAAGAAAGAAAATTACGGTATTATTATTCCGATATTGCTGAATGTTTTTTTCCTCCAAACTCGTATGCCTGCGGGCATATGATCGCGTTGACTTAATTATTGGCTCGGAACGAATGGGTTACAACGTATGTCATTTTTTTAAAAAATAAAATTTCGTAGATGATATATGACGCAGACTATGGTTTGACAAACATAGGTGTACACGATATGTGTGAGAATATTGTCAAACGTTTACCAAAACAAAAAAACTCTTGTTCATCCGTAAATCGTTTAATGTCAAAATGTACAATTATGCGATAGCCAACACTATAAAGGCAATCGTGCTATTAGCGTATCGATGTGATCTACAAAACATCCACGTTAAATGAAGTAAAATTAACAGATTGAGTTCGTGTGTTCCAGGCAGGTCTGTCTATCTAAACTGTAGAATATTTATTGATATATTGTTATTATAAATATGGCTTACTTTGCTAATGCACCTTCATCAAAAATTATATGTCCTTAATTGAAAATAACTTCATATTATATATTGTGATCCTGCTATGCTCAATGATCGGTTATTAATTATAAGGGGGTTGCTTTTATAGGGGAGACACAAAAATAGGCAATAGTTTAGACTTACTAAAGTTTCAAGGTACTTCCCGAAGTTGCAAGCACTCTTGTGTTGTCTTCAATTCTCTGCTGCAGCCATATATATATATATATATATAT